GCAAAGGGGCGAGGCAAAGTGAGGCGTGATGGCAAACAGTCGTCCAAAGCCAAGTCGCTGTGCCCGGTGGAGCTGAAAGATTACAAGCAGACAGATGAGCAAATCGATTCACCCACCTCCCACCCTAACGCTGGTCTTATCAGAGACCTTTTGTGATATGCTTCGTCTTCGTCGACATCACTTGGTCGAAAGAATGGAAGCTTTGATGAGACAGCTTCTGTTTTACGTGTCCCTTCGTTTACAGATCTCTGCATTTGAGATGCAGTTGATTGAGGCTTTGGACCTCTTCGAGGATCATGGGTTCTGAGATACCGACTTGGTGCTGAACATGAATTATCTCCTGGGTCAGATCGGAATCATCCTCGGTCAACTTCGAACTGCTATAGCATTCACACAGTGTCAACTGTACCGTTTATTGGAGCACACTCATTGACGAGTGTCTGCACTTCTTGGCATCAGCCTACCCTGCCGTACGGTCACGGCAGCCGAGATCGAATGTTCCCCAATGCCAGTGTGAAAAAAGAGGGGTGCGACAGTTCACTGAAGCCGACGGCTGTGAGTGGTTTTTGTTTCAGCTGCATTCGCGTTTTATTTTTGGAGATTGTTTGAGAAGAGAGAGATGAAATTTTGGTAGTGGAATGTTTGTGGAGAGGCGCACGCAACAGACTGGTTTGAGAAGAAGGGTTCACGCGCACGTCGTACGGAACCGATCATATAAGTATATACATTTACATCGTTTGGTAATATGTATATTTAAGCGCTTACGCGCGACAGCCGGCCAGGGGCCCAACTATGTTGGCCTATGTAGTGTAATGTAGTGTACTGGCGTGTAGTGTAGGGTAATGTCCTGTAGTGTAGTGTATTGAAGCGAAGCGACATCCGAACCTCTAAAAGTGGTCCGAACCCCTGGTGTTTTTAACATTTTGACTTCGAAATGTCCTTCGCGCCACAACGGCGTGCACTTTTTCGACATCCGAACCTCCAAAAGTGGCGTGAACATGTGGTGCTTTGTACATTTTGACTTGGAAATGTGCTTCGCGCCACAACGGCGTGCACTTTTTCGACATCTGAACTTCCAAAAGTGGTCCGAACCTGGTGTGTTTTGTACATTCTGACTTGGAAATGTGCTTCGCGCCACAACGGCGTGCACTTTTTCGACGTCTGAACTTCCAAAAGTGGTCCGACAATGGTGTGTTTTGTACATTTTGACTTGGAAATGTGCTTCGCGCCACAACGGCGTGCACTTTTTTGACATCGCAACTTCCAAAAGTGGTCCGGAGCTGAGGTGTTTTCTACATTTTGACTTGCAAATGTGCTTCGCGCCACAACGGCGTGCACTTTTTTGACATCTCAACTTCCAAAAGTGGTCCGACACTGGTGTGTTTTGTACATTTTGACTTGCAAATGTGCTTCGCGCCACAACGGCGTGCAATTTTTCATCACTTATCTGGCCAGCTGGCTCCGCACCCGCCGCTTTAGCGAGCCTACTTTTCGACCCTCCGGAGCCACAAATCATTGGAAAAACACCGTGTTTCGCGACTTTCCTACCTTTTCGCGCATCTCCATCTTCTTTCCTTCTGATCTTTCTATTCTCTCTGCCTCTTCCCTGCTCTGCTTTTCATCTGCCCATATTGTGGGAAGTTTGACTTCTAAACTTCCTTCGATAACATATATATATATATACTAGATACGTAATATACATTATGTGAAAATCAACAGAAATTTGGGGAGTAACCAGTAATCTCAGGGGGTATCGACCATTGCTCGGAAGTAAACTTATGGGAATGATCTGGAATTAAGGGGGGTAGTAGGAAGTTCGTTGACGTAGCCAGATGAGGTGTTTAACCATTTCAAACCAACTATAATGGGGGTTGTCAGCCATTTGATAAGATGTAACTACGCAATGCTGCGGGTGAGATTATTGATTTTCAAATTGGGACTTGACCTACGCCCTGCTTTGATCCCATCCCATCTTTTTATATCTTTTTGTTATGTTGAAGTTCTGAAGTGACGTTTTAAATCGTTTTGTTATGGGTTTCAGAAACGGTTTCAGAAACGGTTTCAGCAGTTGGTGCTGGAAGATTCATGCCTTGATGTCGAGTTGGCATTCAGAAAGCCTTGACTCAAGGCGTACTGATGTTGGTGCTTGGTGGAATCACAACAGTGCAGCTGATCGTGCTGATTTTAGCCCCGTGCTTAGAATTCCAACATGACAGGAGGGATGTTAAACCTTGTTAAACCAAACAAATAGGAATTCAAATTGTCAAATAGGACATATTGACCTTGGGCATCAACTTGACGTTTGCTTCCCATGTTTCAGCGTGCCAGGCCATGAACTTCTGTATGGTGCAGGATAAACCTGAGGTGCCGTCGGATGCCGAAAGGATGCCTTCGGGTTCATCTGGGGGAAGGCAGATTTTGATCCGTTCGCCAGGAAGGAAAGATGAAAGAAGAGGATCAAATTACGAGGCTCCACGGCAACTGACCGGATGTTTAGTGGCATAAGTGGCATAGTCGTTTTTTTTCAGTTTATCTAGGCATTCATTTATCGGAATCTTGATAGTTCTTGTCAGTTTTTGGACACGTTCATGAGACATTATACCTTTAGATCCTTTAGCATCCTTTATCATACATTTCTGATGTTCCGAAACATGTTCTTTCACTCTGTCGGAGAAGATTTTTGGGGGGGAGCGATGGCAGGAAACCCATATCCAAAGAGGGGGAGCTACGGTCCTCGTGAGATCCTATGGCATCGGCATGAGCTCCAGGTCAGAGTGCCTGGCGCATGCCACGCGTGTCATGGCATGGCATGCGTCATGTCATGTCTTCCCCTGCTCAAATTTTCCAGTACAGAGGTTGAGCATGGCTTAATCTACCATGGCAATTGTTCAATAGAGATGACTGCGGATAGATAGTAGATCTGGATACAGAATGATACAGATACGGATTAATATGTACACACAATATGTACACGCACAATATGTACACACACAAACATGTAATGTAATGTAGTGTAGTGTAATGTATATAATGTAATGTATAATGTAATTGAAAGTAATGTATGTAGGATATAATTGCTGGTTTCCCGTTTCCTGTGAATGCAGCAAAGCAGCAGTTCTATTCCTGTGCCTTCTGGCCGCAACAACACACCGCCCATAGCATCGGTTGCCATCGCAGCTTGTGCCTGTTCTGTGAGTCAACGATTGCCGAAGTAGGTTTTGTCCAAAGAGATGCCGGAAGGGTGCAGAGTGCAACAGAGTGCAGAGTGCATGGAATGTTGGCTTTCACATCTTTCACTATGCTCGATGTGGCGTTTCAAAGCATTGTTTGGAGATATGAGGAAGGTATATATAAACATTATAAACAACCTCAAGAAACAGAATATAACGTTTAAAACAAGCCATTTAATGTTATGGCATGATCACAGGCTGTAAGCTAGCAACGCTAGCTGAATTCTTGAGCCGAATTGCGCTGATCTAGACTTTTGACGACCTTTGTTCGTCGTGACAGATCAAAGTCGGCTCGGTCTCAGCAGAACAGCTGCGACAACATCGATGCACTTTTGTTGAACCATGTCATACCATGTCCAATATATGGGCATCTTTAGCAGTGATTTTGTGACAACAGTGGCTGTCCAGCTTTTGAACTTTTATGTCGAGACCGGGCAGGGATCTGGCTAGGGCTCTGCAGACTTGTAGTCAGACTTGATGTGTTGGGCTGTCCAAGAAAGGGCACTATGGCTTGCGCCTGCTCATGCAAAATGTTTCTCTCATGAGTCCATCACGGACCTTTTAATATCTTATAATCAGATAATATCAGATATCTGCAGGATAACCCAGGATGGAGATAGGATGTAGGACGAATACAGCATGGCAGGCAACTTTTTCATTGTGCCACGGACAAAGCTCGCTACTGGAGGTTCGGACCCCAATCCCAACGTGCGCAAGAGATGTACGCATGCTGCGCCGGGCGCGAATCTCGGCCTCCGGGCATTTTCGGAAGTGAGGTGACCATCTCACGTTTTGTGCATTTCTTCGTTCCAGTATCCCGGACCGTAGCTGGGAGCTATGTGGTTTGACGCTGATGTTTGGCAGACCTGCCTCCACTTCGCCCTCTTGCTAGCCCTTAGCTAGTTCCGTGCGTTGTTTTTTGACGGGGTAATTAATTGCTTTCTAACTTTCCCACTGACGGGATCGTCATTGTTTCTCAAATTCAACAACTTCAGAGAAACTTGTTCGAAAACCAGAAGAATCCCCTTGAAGTCATGTGGGTATGGGTGAGAATTGAGCACCCCAGAAATGGATGGTTGATACATGGTGATACTACTGGTACTCGTAATACCAAGAAATGACACATATCTCACTATCAATGTCGACGTATCTCCCATGCAGCTCCCAAAGTTGCGGCAGCTCAAATGGTAGCGGGATACTTGTGGCAAGCCTTAGCCGACTTAGCCGCCTGTGGCTATCAATAATCCCTACATTGATTGAAGAATTCGATCAATTTGCCGTGGGCGAATTCCTTGTCATAATGCGTTCCTTTAAGAGATTTTAAGAGAGACATCGATTGATAATACACGAGTCTTGTTTGGATGTTGTCTTGGTTTCCAACTTAGGAATTCTAATGGGATTGATTCTGTGGTTGGTCATAAAATTTTCGGACTCGCATCTGACAGTTCTCGAGTTTTCGTTCCTCGGTGCTGGATTTATTGCGCGGGTTTTCCGGATTGTACTTGGCGCGAGAAAAGACTGGGCCACTGGGTGATGCTCCAAGCATCTCCAAGCAGTGAACTGCATTTTGGACATACCCTAAACCTCCCTAAACTCCAGACATGCTTCACTCAGAGGGTTCCTTTGGTTTGTGTTTCGTTTTGTCTTGACATGTCTTGACACTTCCTCTCAGCCAGAAGATTGCCGCCTCAGAGCAGTTGCCGTATGCCGTATCTCTATCGATTCATCGAATCTTAGCCGCTTAGCCACGCGGCAGAAAATCGTGATGCAAATGTTCAGCTATGACCGGAAATCGCTTCCGCCTTAGGCATTTTGTGGCATTTTCATTTAGAAGTTTGGAATTGTCCAGAAACCACACACACACAGCTGCGGAGTTTGTGAGTTTTGACATGTTTTGACGACAGCTTTGCAGCTGCGCCATCCACGGTGAGTCAGAAAACCCAGGATTCTTGGAGATGCTGCACTGCAGCATTGTGGTATGGCCGTTGAATCGCGTGAGAGGCGTCTTCAAATCACATGTTCCACAAATTTCCACAACTGCTACCGCTACCGAGTCGATCAAACAGACATTAATTCTAATTTGGTGTGCCGTGGTGTGCCCATGCTTGTGCTTCACCAAAGGAACTTCACGACTTCCACGGTCAGTTGTGCCTTGGAAAGATGTTGGATTTTGCAGGTCTTTGGAGTTTGTTCTGGTCTCCATCGTTGCGCATGCCAACCTCCCAAGGTACAACGAAGTGTATGGAGCCGTACTCGAGAGGCCCTATGCCCTATGCATCCCTATGAGCAGTTGCCGTTGGAATTTACTTGCCCGCATTTTACACTGACATTGTGGCTTTGCTTCACACATTCCATATATTTCACAGACATTTTGCTGGGCTGTTGTTGGTTTGCCAATGTCTTCCAGGAGATTTCCCTGATTTGTACTCCGCTCCAGGAACGTTACCACCGCCTGCAGCGGGAGCTGCGGCACTTGGGTGAAGTGGCCGAGCTGGAAGATTTGAAAACGCAGGCCGGCATCACCAATCATACTCATGGCATTTTCATGGCCCTGATGGCTTTATGATGGCTTGATGATGGCTTTATGACTGGAGATGTTTGGACGATTTTCGGATGATTAATTGAGCAAATCTGTTAAATCTTGATGATTGAGTTTCATCGAAATTTTCATACGTGCGGCAGGTGCCCAAAGCTTGGCATGTGGTTGAGAACTTCTTGGATCCCTGTGATGCTGAGGACTCACTGGCCTGGGCCACAGATAAAGTAAATGATGACAATGGCAGGTATCCTCATTTTCTCGTTCAAATGGCCCTGAAATTCCTGGAAACCCAATAAGCGGCAGTAAATGGAGTAAATGTGAGTAAATTAAATCGTTCAAAATTGTGCCATTTCGATCCATTTCGCTCTTTGACATTTCCCTAGATCGACATGATGCCACTGTGTCGATCTCCAGGAGCGTGGCAGTGCAATGCTGCCTGGACGTGCTCGAAGTGTGGCCGGGAGCGTCGTGGAGGTGCACATCGACATGACCATGGCGACCCAAAAAGTGGGGGAACGACTTTGGGAACCACTTTGCGAACGCACATTTCTATACGTTTCTATATTATACTGTATGATTTGTATAGATTTCCATTTTTTTTTCTTTATTTTCTTTTTTGTGGGTATTGAAGTGAAATCTTGATGAAACTTTCCAAAGTTTGTGATCAATGATTCTGAGTCGTAATTTATGTGGGCAGATGTCCCAGGAATCGGAAACATCTAGGCATCATGTCATGCTGAACTACATTTAAAATGATTCAAAATGATATGACAAGTTGAACAAGCATAAATATAAGGCCTGAATGCGTACATGAGCTGCAGATGGTATATACGGCAAATAGCGTACATGATCACACGCTACTGTTGTTTTGCAATGTTTTGCAGATTCATTGGAAGTCTTGCTAGGAATTGCAGCGGGGCCGCCAAGCATCACAGGAAGGCCTACGAAACGTCGATCGCACCGAAGAAGAACTGCAGGAACTGCAGTCGGTTCACGAAGGAAGTGACCCGGTGCAGGACCCGGTGCAGCGTGTGCCACTGACCGTCTTGTTGGATGGCCTTTGTCCACACGAAGTTGGCTGCTTGATGCGGACTTGCGAAGCTGCAGGCGGCCAAAAATGATCAAAATGGACCAAACAGAATATTTAACTTGTTGTCTTATTTAAGCGCTTACGCGCGACAGCCGGCCAGGGGCCCAACTGTGTTGACCTGCTTCTTGTTGTTGTTGTTGTTGCGGTGGTTGTGGTTGTGGTTGTGGTTGTGGTTGTGGTCGTTGTTGTGGTTGTTGGTTGTTGGTGGCTGGTTGGTTGTTGGTGGTTGGTTGTTGGTTGTTGGTTGTTGGGCCCATTTTGTGCCATCTTGGTCCGATGTTAGCCCATCTTTGGGCCCATGTTGCGCCCATCTTGGGGCTATGTTTGCTCATCTTGGGCCTATGTTAGCCCATCTTGGGCCCATGTTGCGCCCACCTTGGGGCAATGTTCGCCTATGTTGGGGCCATCGTGGGCCGATGTTGAGGCATCTTGGGGCTATGTTGGGGCATCTTGGGGCTATGTTGGGCGATCGTGCGCGATGTTAGTGCAAAAACATGTTGAATGTCACAGGGCCAAAAAACACTGTAAATTACAGGGGTTTCTGTCGACACGCGCACCCCACCGCGAGGTCAGGGGCAGGGGCCCAACTATGTTGGCCCATCTGTTGGCCTATCTTGGCCTATCTTGCGGGCAATGTGGGCTCAGCTTGGAGCTATGTTGACCCAGCTTGGGGCTATGTTGGCCTATCTTGAAGGCTATGTGGGCCGATCTTGAGGCCTTTGTCGGCCGATCTTGAGGCCTGTGTTGGCCCATGTTGACCCGTGCGGAGCCAAAAGATCCGAAAAATGGGAACAGCAAAAAAACACTGTAAAACGCAGGATATTTTGAGGGTCGGCGGCCTATCTTGGGGCTATGTTGGCCTATCTTGGGGCTATGTTGGCCCATCTTGGGGCTATGTTGGCCCATCTTGGGGGCTATGTTGGCCCATCTTGGGGCTATGTTGGCCCATCTTGGAGCTATGTTGGCCCATCTTGGGGCTATGTTGGCCCATCTTGGGGCTATGTTGGCCCATCTTGAGGCCTATGTTGGCCCATCTTGAGGTTGGCCCATGTTGACCCATCTTAAACCACAAGATCCGAAAAATGGGAAAAAGTGGGAAGAGCACAAAACACCGTAAAACGCGGGGGTTTTTGGCCGGACCGACGGGTCGGCGGCAGGGGGGCGGCCCCTCTCTCCTACGGAGAGGAGAGAACTGCCGTACGGCAAGGACACGGCCAGGGGGCCCCTGGCCGGATTTAAGCGCTTACGCGCGACAGCCGGCCAGGGGCCCAACTATGTTGACCTGCTTCTTCTTGTTGTTGTTGTTGTTGCGGTGGTTGTGGTTGTGGTTGTGGTTGTGGTCGTTGTTGTGGTTGTTGGTTGTTGGTGGCTGGTTGGTTGTTGGTGGTTGGTTGTTGGTTGTTGGTTGTTGGTTGTTGGTTGTTGGGCCCATTTTGTGCCATCTTGGTCCGATGTTAGCCCATGTTGCGCCCATCTTGGGGCTATGTTTGCTCATCTTGGGCCTATGTTAGCCCATCTTGGGCCCATGTTGCGCCCATCTTGGGGCAATGTTCGCCTATGTTGGGGCCATCGTGGGCCGATGTTGAGGCATCTTGGGGCTATGTTGGGGCATCTTGGGGCTATGTTGGGCGATCGTGCGCGATGTTAGTGCAAAAACATGTTGAATGTCACAGGGCCAAAAAAACACTGTAAATTACAGGGGTTTCTGTCGACACGCGCACCCCACCGCGAGGTCAGGGGCAGGGGCCCAACTATGTTGGCCCATCTGTTGGCCTATGTTGGCCTATCTTGCGGGCAATGTGGGCTCAGCTTGGAGCTATGTTGACCCAGCTTGGGGCTATGTTGGCCTATCTTGAAGGGGGGGGGGCCTTTTGCTCTTGGAGACGCTTATGAGCGACCCGGATTCCGGCCAAAAAGCTCTCCCCCACCCTCCTGAAGGATTTTTGGTGCTTTTCGGGGCCCGGCGTCGGAGGGTCGGCGGTTTGGGGCGCGCCTCACCATAGAGCTCTAGTCGCTCTGGGACGCTCGTGACGCATTTGTCAGCGTACTCGTGGGGAGCCGGCGGAGCCGAATTTTTGGTGTTTTTCGGGGCCCGGCGTCGGAGGGTCGGCGGTTTGGGGCGCGCCTCACCATAGAGCTCTAGTCGCTCTGGGACGCTCGTGACGCATTTGTCAGCGTACTCGTGGGGAGCCGGCGGAGCCGAATTTAAGCGCTTACGCGCGACAGCCGGCCAGGGGCCCAACTATGTTGGCCCATTTTGTGGCATCTTGGGGCTATGTTGGCCTATCTTGAGGGCAATGCGGGCCCATCTTGGGGCTATGTTGGCCTATCTTGAAAGCTATGTGGGCCGATCTTGAGGCCTATGTGGACCCATGTTGAGCCAAAAGAGCCGAAAAATGGGAACAGCAAAAAATCACTGTAAAACGCAGGATATTTTGACGGTCGGCGGCCTATCTTGGGGCTATGTTGGCCCATCTTGGGGCTATGTTGGCGTATCTTGAGGGCAATGTGGGCCCATCTTGGGGCTATGTTGGCCCAGCTTGGGGCCATGTTGGCCCATCTTGGAGCTATGATGGCCCATCTTGGGGCTATCTTGACCCATCTTGGGCGCTATGTTGGCCCATCTTGGGGCTATGTTGGCCCATCTTGCGGCCCATGTTGGCCCATGTTGACCCATCTCGAGCCACAAGATCCGAAAAATGGGAAAAAAAGGGAAGAGCAAAATACCCTGTAAAACGCAGGATATTTTGGCCCTACCGGGTGGGTCGGCGGCCCCTCTCTCCTACGGAGAGGAGAGAAACGCCTTCGGCAAGGACACAGCCAGGGGGCCCCTGGCCGGATTTATGAGGCTTACGCCTGACAGCCGGGCGCCGGCCAAAGCAGACCCGTGGAAGGTATGCGTTGGGTGTAATCCATGTCCATGTTCTGGTGTTGTTGTTGTTGTTGTTGTTGTTGCTGTTGTTGTTGTTGTTGTCGTCGTCGTCGTTGTTTTTTGTTGTTGTTTTTGTTTTTTTGTTGTTGTTGTTGTTGTTGTTTTTGTTGTTTTGTTGTTGTTGTTGTTGTTGTTGCCAATGTTGCCCTATTTGGGCGCAGGTTTGCCCCTGTTGTTGTTGTTGTTGTTGTTGTTGTTGTTGGCGTTGTTGTTGTTGTTGTTGTGGTTGTGGTTGTTGTTGTGGTTGTCGTTGTCGTTGTCGTTGTTGTTGTTGTTGTGGTTGTTGTGGTTGTTGTTGTTGTTGTTGTTGGCCGATGTTGGCCCTATTTGGGCGCAGGGTTGCCCCTGTCTTGGCCCTAGGTTGTTGTTGTTGTTGTTGTTGTTGTTGTTGTTGTTGTTGTTGTTGTTGTGGTTGTTGTGGTTGTCGTTGTCGTTGTCGTTGTCGTCGTTGTTGTTGTTGTTGTGGTTGTTGTGGTGGTTGTTGTTGTTGTTGTTGTTGTTGTTGTTGTTGTTGTTGTTGTCGTCGTCGTCGATGATGTTGTTGGTGATGTTGTTGTTGATGTTGTTGTTGATGTTGTTGGCGTCGTTGATGTTGTCGATGTGGTTGATGTGGTTGATGTTGTTGTCTTTTGCATCAAGTTGGAGCTAAGTTGGGCCATCTTGGAGCTATGTTGAGCCATCTTGGGGTCATGTTGGGCGATCTTGGGGCCATGTTGGGCCTATGTTGGGCCATCTTGGGGCCATGTTGGGCCCATTTTGTGCCATCTTGGGGCCATCTTGGGCCTATGTTGGGTCTTGGGCCATCTTGGAGCCATGTTGGGCCTATGTTGGGCCATCTTGGGGCCATCTTGGGCCTATGTTGGCCCTATGTTGGCGCAGGCTTGCCCCTATCTTAGCCTTATGTTGACCCATGTAGCCCACATCTTGGCCGATGTTGGCCCTATGTTGGCACCAAGGCCGTCAAGAACATCTGCAGAGAAATTTTTGCGATTTTTTCCGCCCCTCAACGCAAAAACTATGGAAAAACCCACATTTTTTAACATCGCCAAGGTGCAATTCTGCGCCGCCGAGGGGCCCGAAACCCTGTAAAAAACGATGTTTTTTGAACACCACACGCAGAATACACTGTAAATTACAACGATAATCGTGGACCGGAATCGACACGAGGTGGTCGGCGGCAGGGGCGGCCAGCGTATATAACCTTCGGTTACCACCGAAGGCCTCCGGCGAGGACACGGGCGCGGGGCCGGCGCCCGGATTTTAGCGCTTACGCGCGACAGCCGGCCAGGGGCCCAACTATGTTGGCCCATTTTGTGGCATCTTGGGGCTATGTTGGCCTATCTTGAAGGCAATGTGGGTCCATCTTGGGGCTATGTTGGCCTATCTTGAAAGCTATGTGGGCCGATCTTGAGGCCTTTGTTGACCCATCTTGAGCCAAAAGAGCCGAAAAATGGGAACAGCAAAAAGTCACTGTAAAACGCAGGATATTTTGACGGTCGGCGGCCTATCTTGGGGCTATGTTGGCCCATCTTGGGGCTATCTTGAGGGCAATGTGGGCCCATCGTTGGCCCATCTTGGGCGCTATGTTGGCCCATCTTGGGGCTATGTTGGCCCATCTTGAGGCCTATGTTGGCCCATGTTGACCCATCTTAAACCACAAGATCCGAAAAATTGGAAAAAATGGGAAGAGCACAAAACACCGTAAAACGCGGGACTTTTTGGCGGCCGGGGGTGTCGGCGGCTGGGGCGGCGGCCCCTCTCTCCTACGGAGAGGAGAGAACTGCCGTACGGCAATGCCACGGCCAGGGGGCCCCTGGCCGGAATTTAAGCGCTTACGCGCGACAGCCGGCCAGGGGCCCAACTATGTAGGCCCATTGTGTGGCTATGTTGGCCTATGTTGGCGTATGTTGGCCTATCTTGCGGGCAATGTGGGCCCATCTTGTGGCCATGTTGGCCTATGTTGGCCTCATGTTGATTCATGTTGAGCCAAAAGATCCGAAAAATGGGAACAGCAAAAAAAACACTGTAAAACGCAGGATATTTTGGTCGGCGGCCTATCTTGGGGCTATGTGGGCCCATCTTGGGGCTATGTCGGCCTA